AACCCTATTTCCTCACTTCCCCACCGCCGAAAACTCTCACCTCTCTCTAGAGTGTTTTTCTCTCATTTTTCGCCCGTTTCTTTGCGTTCTACGCCCGTTTCGTCGTCGGATTCGCGATTTTCTTCGCGTTTCGGACATTTTCAACCGATCACATTTTTGTTTCGGTGCCTCGTTTGGCGTTCCCGCCTTTTCGGGGTTTGTTCCCCTCGTTTTCCTCTTCATTCCCATGCCTTTTCACATTCCGGCCTTCCCGGCCATTTTCGACCTTCTCGGGAGTTGACTTTCCGGTTGACTCTTCGTATTCCAGCCCGATTTTCTTTCCTCCGGCCATTTTCTCATCATTTTCGATATGGCGGACGACATTCCACGTGGCGGGACTCCTCCGGACCACGAGATGGATCCCGAGGTCGAGCTCCTACCGTTGAGCGAGCGCCCGTTCGACCCGGCAACCTACCGACCGGCGATCCATGTTCTGCCCCCCGACGGCCTGCGTCAGTTCCGGAGCTTCGAGAGGCACGTGGCGCTTGAGCTACTACTGCCTGAGCCTACCTCCCACATTTCCTTCAGCATTTCCGAGGTAACTTTCTTTCTTCTGCTTTACTTTTCGCAATGTAGGATACAAAACTGTCATAGTTAGCTGTACTCTTTAACTGCTTGAATTTGATATACCGTAGACTATAGTTGACTGTAAACATACATACAACTGACATCTGCCCGAGACTGACACATGCACACACACTGCACTAGCCCTGAATCACTCAAACACACTGCACTCACTGTATTTCACTGCATACACACTGGCACCCAGTATTTGTCTGAATCTGTTAAATTTGCACACATGCTATATCTGTTCTGAAACACCCAAACACGCTGACACATCACACGTTGTAGTTCACTGTAAGCACACCGGCACCCGGTATTTGTCTGAATCTGACAAACTTGCACACATGCTTCATCTGCTTTTTCAAAACTGCATTTTGAATGTTGTCTTGTAATTGTTATTTTCTATTTACAGGAGGGTTCCCATACCATCCACGGGTATGGGAACACTGGCGGTCGGGAGTGGTACGATGAGCTCCCTGACGCGGTCCGACGCATAGTGGACCGGGCGGGCTTTGGCGCCTTCTGCCGAGGACTCTCCAGGCTTTCCACCTGCAGACCTCTCCTTGCCGCTCTGGCGGAGACATGGTGGGACACCACCGATTCGTTTCACTTTTCCGCTGCAGGGGACATGACGATGACCCCTTACGATTTCTCGATGCTCACTGGCATCGGGGTAGGGGGTGATCCGATCCCATTCGATATCGACATGGATGAGTGGACCGCCGCTCAGGTCCATCTACTGGGGGAGGCCCCACCTCTTGCTCGTCCAGGCTTCGTGTGGTACTCCTGGTTCGAGGTACAGTTTAGGGTCCAGCCCGTGTTGGAGGAGGAGGCGCAGATGACCCAGGAGGACGTGGAGAGGTATGCTCGCGGCTTCCTCATGTTCCTGTTCGGGACTACCATCTTCGCCGATTGGGCGAACACCGTGCCTCTCTCTCTTCTCAGCGCACTGGTGGACGTCCGGGACATCTTGCACTATGACTGGGGTGGCGCCGCTCTGGCCACTCTCTACGGGTACATGAGCTCGGCTTCGTGCGACAGCGGCCAGTTGCTCGGGGGCTACTGGCGGGCTTGGGAGGTACATTCCTTCTCCGCTTTTCATTTATGTCTGATATTTTCTGTACTCTGTACACTGCACACACTGTAGTCTACTTTATACTTGCTGTATACTGTACACATGGCACACACATACATTCTGCTTCACACTGACTGTACACTGCTCACACTGTACACTGCACACAATACACTGCACAACACACGGCTCTGCCATTTCTGCTTTATTCTGTATATTCTGTTCATCTGATAGTCATACTGACATCTGTTTTGCAGTTGTGGGTTTACGCCTACTTTCCTAGGCTTGCCCCCGTACCAGTCACAGAGACTCCCCTGGTCGTCCCCTTCTCACGGCGCTTTGACGGGAGATGCACCCGGCAGCCGCGAGAGACTTTCAGCTTTTTCCGCCGATACTTCGACACCATTACCCCGACCGAGGTATGTTTTACTTGCAGTTCATTTAAGCTTCACTTTCCCACCGTATATTTCAATAACAGTAGATAACAAACTGTCTGTCACTTTCAGATCACTTGGCGGCCGTGGGCTCCGTTGCCAGCTGTGACTCGAGATCGGTTTGCCGGTGCCGATGAGACCTCACATTTCCGGATCTTGCTAGAGGGCCCGGTCTGTCGGGCTTGGTACCTGGGGGAGCGTTTCCTACGCTAGACCTTGGGGTTACCTGAGCAGATAGTCCCGGTTCACCCTCCTGCAGATATGAGGGAGACCGAGAGGCTCACCAGCGAGCAGATGGATGACTACACCATTGGCTGGGAGGAAGCCGGCTTCAGAGGCACCGGAGACTATCGGGAGTACGTGCAGACGTACCTGATGCGACCTCTGAGCGGCGGCCGTCGAGCAGAGGGGGCCAGGCCTGTGGCATCGGCAGCTGGGGCCGGAGCGGGAGTTGGAGTAGGGGCTGCGAGGAGGGCCCGAGTCCGTGGCAGGGGCGGAGCGCAGGGAGGACGGGGGACTGGCTGGCCCGCCCTGCCGGCTGTACTGACTTTCCAAGGGCAGGGTGGGGCGACCTATCAGATCCCCTTCGCCCCTCCGCC